AATGCTTGTCCAAGTCAGCAATGGAGCCGGTCATGAGGCAATGCGATCCGATGAGACGTGCCCAGAGCGAGTCGCTCGAGGCTGGAGGGCGCGTTCAAGCTTTGCCTAAGTCGACCTGCTCCTTGGCCCGGAGTCGTGCAGCGACCACGAGAGTGATCTGGAGTGCGAGATCCGGGGGTGGGTGGGTAGTCGCCTGCCCCGCGTAGCCATATCCGTCCGGTGGTGCGTGGTAGTGTCAAGGTAAGAAAGGAGCATGTTTCGCACTTGTGGACATGGTGCCGTTGAACGTGCGTCACCATCGGCAGCTGAATCGGCATTTGCCCAAGGCACGATCACTGCGGCACCAGGGTGTCTTGCTCCAGCAAATAACAGGAAGCCTGAAGGACATCAAATATGGAGGCTGTCGGGAATTCCGACGAACCTCAGTTGATCCACCGGCTTCTGGCCTTCTGTGCATGAGCGGCTTAACCAAGTACGGCAGGACGCTTGATTGCCTTGGCCTCCCTGCGCGTCGACCACATCCGATGTGTGTCGCTAACGTTCTAACAGATGATTAGATCTTCGAGTGTGAATCGCGGTCTTGGGACTGGATGAGACGCTGATCACCGGCAGTTAGAAAGATAAAACTCTGCATTTGTTGAGTAGGCCGCTTGTCTCTCGGAGCCTGCAGTCCAATGCATTTTCTGTTGCTTACTACGAGTATCTCTGTGGGAATTTTCTCTCGTGTTTGTGGGTATTTTGGCATGCTTATCGTTGCTTGACGCCGAGGTACAGTCCAGTGGACGAGGACAGTGGCAGGTGAGTGGACAGTGACTGGGGTCTCAGGGCTCCTTCAGAATCCAATCAATGCTTGGCAGCGTGCTTGTTTAGGCGTGTGGCGGCGGTTTCCGGGGCGCACTCCACTCCAGTCGCGGCGTGAAGTCTGGCAGAACCTCCACGCGGCCCAAGACGCCTATCTAGGTAGGTACCTACGAGGTAGTAGTCAAAAGACCTTCGCTACCCGTCCCATGCTCATAGGTATGTTTTCATTCGCTAGGAAAAAGCCTCCTATGACAGCCCCGATCCGAATGATCTGGCCGACCACAGAACAAGGTCCAGTATCACTGACCTCAACCCCTGCAGCAGCCATGTTTCGATCGTGGTCATCTTCGTTCACTCATTGCCCACTGAAACCGATGCACTAACCGACCATCCCTCACGCCCGTCAAGACACCACAATCATAGCGTCAACGTCACGATCCAGACGAGAATGCCCAAGATTGCAGCAAAGAAGGGGGCATAAGTATTTCGCAAGGCCATAGCCCCGCCAGTCTGTGACGGCAGTGTACTCGAATTCACGCTGGAATGTGGACTGGTGTTTGTGCTCGTCTTCGTGGCCATGGTCATGAGTATACTGGTGCTTGTGCTGGCGTGAGGAGTGGTCGCCCCTGACACGACAGGAGGCGAAGGTTGAGCTGGCGGAGGAGGCCAAGGCGCTGACGGTGATGGTGTTGCTTGGCCCGGAACAGTACTGCCTCCGCCAACGCCAGCTTGGCTGGAAGGGGTAGCACCAGTTCCGCCGTTGTTACTGGATGGCTGTCGTCCGCCATAGACACTAATGGTGGTGCTCATACCACTGCTAAGTCCACCACTTCTCCCATCATTGCTGCTGCTAGCCACCGGGCCCCCTCCATCCGTGCCACTTCCACCCGCCACGAACATGGTCGTCGGGACTGTCGCTGTCACGGTGGTGTTAGGGATCCTTGGCCCACCTGTTGCATCGCTCTGAGGGCCGGGACTTATGGGGACTACCGAGATTGTGATGACTGCGGAGTGAGTGCTACCTTCGCCCTCCACCTCTGTGCTTCCCCTGCTCTCCTCACATGAAGTTGGTCTTGGCGTTGGCACTGGAGGAGAAGTCGGAAGCAGAGGAGCACTCACACTAGTGTTTGTGGAATCGGAAGCGTGAGGTAGGGGAGGCGATGTAGGTGAACTTGGGCCGATGTTTGCCGAGTGGGAGGCAGAAGAAAGGGTAGTGCTCGTACTCGAGGTTGCGTAGACTGTGATTGATGCTGTCGTGGTGACAGTGATTGTGTCTGTAGCTGAGTTCAGTGTGTCGCCTTGCGGACAGCGCAGTGTTCCAGCGCAGTATGACACAGGAGGGATGCTTGAAGAGGAATCCCCAGGGGTCGACTGAGTGGTAGACGAGGGTGCGGTCGGGGAGTACGTTGTAGTGGCGAGGGTAATTGTCGATTGAGAGGTGGAGGCTTGTGACGCACCTATCGATAATGAAGTTGAGGAGGTGGGTGGCATAAGTGGCGAGGGAAAAATGGGAGGAGAGTAGGCCACAGACAGCGAGGTCGATGGCGGGCAAGGGGAAGCATAAGAGTTCGGTTGGTGCGGAGAGGACGAGTGATCATATGGACTGAGGGACCCAGAGGAGCCCTGAGAGTATTGCCTCGTTTCAGTCAGAGGCGGACTTTGCAGAGTGGCGCTCCAACAAAGGAAAGAAACGTACCGGATCCGTCGACGGTATCGCATTCGGATTGTCAAACTGAGCGAATGTGCAGCTCGCGCTGAGCAGGAGGATGTAAATAATAGTGTTAGATAAAGCCATTGTAGCACGAGGATAAACGAGTATAGATTAGGTCTAAGGATATCAGGGAGAAGTTACGAGCAGGTGTCGAAGCGCAAAGCTAAGGTACCGAAGTAAAAGTGATGGCGGAAGAGGAGGAGGAGGAGGAGGAGGAAGAGGAAGGAAAGAAGGAAGGCACGAGGGAAGGGGGTAATCTTATGGGAACCATCGTGAGTCGAATGAAGTGCCTGAACATTGACTGCGTAAGATTCCAACTTCATGAGCGTGATACCGGATGCTGTTGTGGTGCCGATGAATATGTCATGCTGCAAGTTCGAGGATGGACACAGCGAAGCCTTGTGACATTTGCCGGCGCCGAGCTTAGAATCTCGGAGATCTCGAGAAATGCTGAGGATGGTAGACGGAGAATCGTCGCCATCGAGCACATTAACAACCTGAGTTTGCTCTTCAACGCGCTCTCAACAGACTGTCGGTGAGGTTGCTGGCATGGATGACTGTCGAAGACATTCCGCTCCATACCGGCCGACGCTGGGCGTGTAGCGGAATCAATAGGTAGCTTGCATCATGTCTTCTGCCACCACTCAGAAGAGGTATGGTAGGATGGGGAGAGGAACAGGACGCACAAAGAGAGGTAGCGTGACACTTACCGGAGATATTTTGTGTAGCTACTGGGAGGCACGAGCTCCGAACTGTGAGACTCGAATCTGCAGGGCACGATCGCAGGGAAGCGCAGACATTGGCCGGTGAAGAAAGCATGATCTTGAAAATGTCGTTGTTGTGTTGCTATCGGCGCAACCGTTCTTGCAATTGTAAAACGCCAGCAATAAGTTCTCCGAGTCATTCAAATCCAACACTAGCGACAGTATGATGATTCTCGTGGTGAAACCACAGTCACGGGTCGACGACGGTACACGGCGAGGCCTTGTCCTGCCATCTCAAGGCCAACCGAATGTATCCGGGGTAGAGGCGAATACCCAGGTCGTCAAAAGACTCGACACGCAGACTAACATGGACGTGATTTGGGTGGAAGCGGCTGCTACCACAACGACAGTAGTGACTGTAGCTTCAGTCGATGTGCCGGCTGTGGTTATGCCTGTAGATGTAACGCTGGATAAGTCGACGACCACTGTGGAAACACTGGTTATTATGCCAGGAGTCGATCGTGTTGCCACCGGAGGCGTATTGAAGGTAGGACTGGTCCTAGAGGCGGACACGGTGACCGGAGAGCTGCTGGAAAAGCTAGACGAAGGTGCGGACGACGAGGTCGTAGTCTGTGACAAGTTGTATATTTAGCCTCGCACGACGACAATGTTCAGAACTCGTCAGTCTCACGTGTTCCTGGTCAATATTGGCCGTGGTCGTCTCCTCTCCGCTGTCTGCGCCCAGCTCAAGAGTGACGGTCTCGGTACCCTTCACAGCGGTGAAAGGGAAGCCACTGTCGGTATTGGGATTGCAGAGAACATTGCTTTGGAAGTCCTCGCTGTCTGTCTTCACAGGGCCAGAGTCGCATTGAGAGTCAAAAGCGAGACAAAAGTCGAAGGCTACAGTCGCGAAGCCATTCTGACAGAAACAGTCGAGGGAAAAGTTCGGTGCAGCCGGCAAGAGAAGCGTTGACAGCTTGCGTGAGGCAGTCTTGCTAAGTAACCGTCAGGTAAGGCATATACCATCCGGTTGTAAATGCTTGCAGCGCAGTTTGGAACGTCCTCCCGTTTTCGTAGTCGGCGGTGGACCATCTCACGCAGAGAAGCTGCAAAATGGCACTGACCATTGATAGCGTCGATATCATGGTGAGAGTTGTCGTAGACGTCTTCTAGGGACGACACAGCGACAAGGAGTGTTGATGAGTTTAAGACTCGGTGTTGACTGGGTTGAGCTGTGAAGGTAAGAAAAACTGAAGCTGAAGTGAAGGAAGGCTTGTGTAACAATAGGACACTGATGTTATGCGCGAGCCTGCAATGATAGTAAACTCCTCCTCCACACTCAGACGACTTCACAAGACCACTACTATTCCAGGTTAGTATCTGCACTGCTAGAGATTGTTCCTGTCGACCCAGATCCCGTTGGCAACAAAGTCGGCTGATCTGAGCCACAATTCGGGACGAAAAACATACCTCTTTACGTGTATGGTGTATGAGTGCACGCAGATATGAAAGCCAGTTCTCAGGCGACAATTTTACTTCTCACAGATTCAGCATGGCCATCCCAGAACATCGATTCGATTCTGACACGCGGGTAAGGGTTTCCGACCCTGGACTGTTGCCACGTCGTTGAAGACTAAGGCCGTCCGTAGGCTATACCTGTTTATCAGTAATAACTACGCAGGCGCAGAACTCAGTGGTAGGAGGTGAAGAAATTTCGGGTCAAATAGATCATCATTTGCGGTGCATCAAGCCTACTACTCTGTCAGTAGGCGCCGTGCCACTGCTTATGCGAAGAGTGCCTTCTGCCACCAAGCGCACCTCTGGTTGGAGGTATCATCTTTGACGCGCTGAATTGTGGTACCAATCGAGTTCATGCTGGCATTCTTTCCCTGCATAGGGAACGGCGGCATCCCTCGTCCGTTCGGGTTGCCCGTCATGATGAAGTTGGTCAGGTACGTCTGAAGCGCCACCCCAACAGGTGCAATCATACCAGCTGTCTGATTCGTTGGCTGTCCATTGTAGAAGGTATAGGGAATATCAAAGCCATGGAATCCTGGTGGAACGGCAAACTGATATGCGTAAGTCTGATTGCCGTAGGCCTTGTTGAGGAAATAGTTGTTGCAGACGAACGATGTCTCGGTTATGAACAAGATAGTTCGCTCAATCGGAGAAGTATACAGTTGGCTTCCGTCATATCGTGCCGGATATAGCGTCTTCACAACATAGTTGACAAGCTCCTGGGGGAATCCAGGAGTGTTCAGCTGTATAAAAGCTTCTAGCTCATCATCTGTCTGGACGTTGGGTGGAGTAAAATAAGGACCTTCGCTGAGCATATGGGATACCATGACTTTGACGTGTTTGGCGAATTGCCCGGCATTCAGGAGGACGCTCGGCAAGGCCGGGACAAATATGCCATCAACGACAGGTCCATACGAGTAGCCCCCATATCTCGAAGCTGCAACTTGCTGTGCATTGGCGACCATAAGGGACGTGGACGATAAGTTGCGCGCTTCTTCGATGGTGCTAACGTTCAACAAGGACAGAAATGCCTGCGTGGTATTTTCCTGGACATAGTATGATGATATGGGTAGATAACCTGGCGACTGGGAGATAGCCTGTTGGAAGGGCACACCTCTCTGGCCGCCGTAGGCTGTAATCTGGTGGACGATCGACCCACCTCGACGAGTTGTCAGCCACTAGTCCAGGGATCTTCGGAAAAGCAAGGCGCCCAGTGCACTCACCTCCAGCAGACTCTCCCATTACCGTCACGCGTTTCGGATCTCCGCCAAACAAGTGGATGTGGTCCCGAACCCACTGGAGCGCGAGACGTTGATCGTACAAGCCAGCATTCGAAACTCCTCCTGCAGCTTGCAAAGAAGGGCCAGCCAACCATCCAAATGCCCCAAGGCGGTAGTTCATGGCGACGAAGATGATACCGTCGCCACCACCGGCCTGGCTAGAGGCTATCAGACCACTGGGGTTACCGGATCCTCCCTTCGACCCTCCTGTGTACCCGCCACCGTAGATCCTGCTTCGGGTCAGTCACCGCAATATGGACGAAGATCTATCTGAACTTACCAGACCACAACGGGCGCACCGTTGCTTTGGCGTCTCTTGATTCTGCTTCGCGCACCGTCGAAGACTTTCTTAGGCACGATCACATCCAAGAACAGGCAGTCTTCCGTCATCCTCGGGTCGATCCGGGCTGTGGACATATTCTGAGAAGCTGCTTGTAGTTGCTGCTCTGCCTCGGTAAGGTTGAATGCGGATGCATTGCCTGCCACAAGATATTGCAGAAATTCCGCTGCGACAGGAGACCAGGCTGGGCCAGCTTGGGGACAAATTCTGCCCACGCTGCCGTTCTGAACGACCTCATTTCTGCCTGCCGGTGCGAGGGGAGCGGCAAAGCGAAGGTTTCCCACGGGAGCTTGACCATATCGTATGTTGGAGAAGTTGTAAGTCTGTCCAGTTTGCTGTTTCGCATTGTTAGCCTCGAAGAAGTATGTTTTGGCCCGTAGCCAGTGGCACTTGCGTTGAAACTGATGGCCTTGTGGATTTCGTAGCCTAAGTCTACCTGCGGCAGGGAGCTCTGTGCAAGGACAAGCGAAGGGAGCAGCGAAAGCGCCGCTAACAACGACAAGCAGGAAAATGGCATCTTGACCGCAACGAACTGGACCATTGGCTTCCTGCTGGGAGAAAACAGCAGCAAGAGTGTACTGGCGCGGCAGCAGCCTCCATATATACCGTGCGACGGGCTCCGGTCGGAGCAGCACTGTTCGACTGAGGTACCAGCATTGGATTTACTTTAGCTCTGTGACATAGTGCAGATGGTTGAACGGACAAAGAGAGCCCAAGTGTACTCGAGCTTCCAGATCCGGAAACGCTCTACCATGCGGACCAGGGTAACCAGGCAAATCGTGGCCAAGCTCCAAATCCATCGCGGCGACCGGGCCAACAATTGTCTTGCTGCAGAGATTCTACCTCGGCAGGGCAAGCTGTCAACGTCTGTGATGTGCCGGGTGCAGCTTCAGGATGGACAAACCCTTGAACGGTGCGGCTTCGACTGCCGACATAAGTCCAGGTTACGGAACAGAAGTGCAAGGAGGGATACGCCCAACCACGTAGCACGACTCTTCACCGCAAAATGCATGTCGTCGACATCGCTCCAGGCCACAAAGAATGGTTGGCCGGAGGTTGACCAGAACACATGAGTGATGGACGAGTGACGCCTCTCGCACAGCCGAGAGGTCCACGGCACGAGGCGCGAAAAGCAAAAAGATCTAATGCAGAAGATGTGGAGAAGCCACAATGAACGAACCTTGGACACGTACTCGTAATGCGGGGTAAAAGACTCGAAGCTCGTGGCTCTGCGTGAATCTGCGGCAATCCACCGGCTGCAGCTTTCGGGGCGACTTCCATCCGAGCCGGTTTTCTTCCACCTCACGATTCCAAACTCGAGTGACGATTGGTAATGGTAAGAGCCCTGTGACAAGACGAAGAAGCCGCACTCCATCTGTTCCGAGCAGAGGACACGACGAATGCAGCATGGCGAGTAACAATACATCTCTTGAGACCTTCGGCCTCAGGAGGACCCGAAGTCTATCAATAAGCTAATAATACAGGCTATTCAAGTCCAATCACGGGTACTTCTGCCTCTGCATTTGCCTCTGCCAACTTGTCATGCTCTCATATGCCACTGTGACCCAGACACCACAAGAGAGTAGCCTAGGGGTCAAGGCTTTGGGGGACGCACCCAAACCTGTGCCCATCAAGGACATTCACACCGGTCTTGACGCCTGATCACGCGTGTCGCACTCGTCTCCAGACTTCCTCTGCACTCGCTTTGCCCTTGCTCTCTGGCACGAAGACACCGACAAAAGCAGCCCAAAAGCAGGCAACTCCTGCGAAGATCCACCAGACTTTGTTTCCAAGCACATTGTTCAGAATAGGGAAAAACATTGACACGAGGAAGGTGGACAACCAGCTACTAGCCAGTGCCCAGCTCGAGACTGCTCCGACGGCCTCCGCGCCCACAAGCTCACTTGTGAGAATAAATGGAACCGGTCCCAGTCCTACACCAAAGCTGGCGACGAAGAGGGTGATGGCGACAACTGTCAGCCACGCAATGTCCTGCCCCAATCCTGCAAAAAGCATAGCTGATGCCGAGCCCATGCCGCTGATTGAAATAAGAAGACAGGTTTTGCGGCCAATCCTGTCGGGCAAGGGTGACGCTAACAAGGTGATCAAGACATTTGCAGCTGAAACAATAACAGTGATAAGGCCGGCCTGCTTGGGCATGATTTTTCCCAGGATGGCGACGCTGTACATGACAACGCTGTTGATACCGCAGAGCTGTTGAGCCATCATGGTTCCCGTCACGGCAATCACTGCCCGTCGGTACTTGGGGATTCTGATGACATCAATGATAGACATGTTGGCGTGTTTCTGTGGTCGAGGACCCTGCGGAGGTCCGAGAAGGCTCTCCTCTTCGGCTTCTCCTGACATATCCCAGGCTTCCATCTCTTCCCGAATGTCGGCATTCTTTCCTCGAAGCCGTTGCAATACTCCCCGTGCCATGCGAGGCCGGTTGTTTGCAGCAAGCCATTTGGGAGTTTCTGGAGTTATGGTCAGGCCAAAGAACATCAACCCGGCGATGTAGCTGCCACTAGCGAGGATCCAACGCCACTTGCCCGATGTTGAGAAAAAGTAGCCCAAGAGCTGAGCCACAACGATGCCGAAGTTGATCTGGACTTGAGTGAAGGCACCAAAGAACCCGCGTTGATTCTGGGGTGACACCTCAGAGATGTACAAAGGACACACAACTGTAGCTGCACCAGCTCCAACACCAGAAAGTGCTCTGCCAAGAGCAAGCAACCACATCTTGCCTGCGAGCGCTTCTGCAATAGGTCCACTAGCCAAGAAAAACGCTGCCCATTTCATGGCAAAAAGTCGTCCGAAGCTTGTAGCAAGGGTACCAGAGAAGATGGCACCGAAGAACCCACCCACTGTGAACATTGCCTGAATCATCCCCCACTCAAAGGCATTCATTGGGAGACACTGTGGGAGCCCGAGAGCGACATATCCGGGGATTTCGTCCGTTTTGCATGTGATGACTTTCTGCGGTGCATTGAGTTCGCCCTGGTGCCTGTAAGTGCATGTCTGACGAAAGGGGCGTAGCCAGTCTTACCAAATGATAGCCAAAGAGCAATGGGCCGAGCGTGACAATGCCGATGGAGCAGAGGAGACACGGCGTGAGCCCGCTCAACTGTGGAGGAGCCATGGGACTCCTTTGGGGAGGATTTGGGGAGGGGTCAGGTAGAGCCGCTTGCTTGATGGCTCTGTAGCCACTGCTGGTCCTGGTTAGTATGGCTCGACCCATCTTGAGACACTCGCGTGATCGGATCCAGATTGAAAACAAGTTCTTGCGCAAGGAAACATACCTTATAATACGGACTAAGACACGATAACAAGGGTAGTGATAGCGCGCGTCGTGGTGTAGATCCCAGCGTCACCGCGCAGTCGGCCTGCAGACAGGCAGAAGAGTTGTTTGAGATCTCCATGGTCGAAGCAAGCGTGGGCGGCGCCTTCCGATGGCCAAAGAGGAAGGAGTCCATGTGCGATATTGGATGGAGATGAAGGAACAAGCCCTTTGCAAACCTTAAACAGGGAAAGTGCAGCCTTATTGGCCCGAATGTGTACGATGGCTTGGCAGGGCAGGTACGACGAGCGACGACGAGGCCCGCACGTGACGCTCGCAAGACATCGCTTAGTGTCGATCATATTGCCTCCTGGTTCTTTTGCTTGCCGCCTTGCCGCAAACCATAACCCCTACGCACCTCTTTCGACCATCTAGAGTCTGATTCTTGAAGCGTTGACATTGCTATAGCGATTGAACTAGTTTGCCACCGTCGTCGGCCTGGGCCAAGATTCGTCGCTGACTTCCGACTCTGCCCGACCACCAGCACTCGCAGCAAATCCGAAGTATGATACCAAAGCCCTAAACAGTACTGCGGACTCGCTTGTCCTATGCTGTTGAGCTCCTGTGGTCATGTCGGTCCACGCATAATCCGGAAGGCCCGAAAGAAACTTTCTACTGGTATCTCTTCAGGCCATGTCAATTCCCGGAATGTCTCGTCCCGGTACAAGCCTGAACATCGCCCAGCAGTTGCGAAAGACGACTCAGCTGGCTGCTCTCGAAGGTAGATTTTCCATCCGTGTATACCTAAACGCGAGCCAATTGCCGGCCCCGCAGGACTACTTGCGGGCCTCCAACTCCGGGAGGCGACCCGGCTGACCGGTGTTATAGATGGCCTGAGAGGTCTTGACAAGAAACAGCCCGGAAATAGCTATACCTCCAAGGTCAAAATCGGTCAGAAGTACAATATCATAGGTTTCATCAGCAGTGGCACCTATGGTCGAGTGTACAAGGCGGTGGAGAAGAACCCGAAGGGTGATCCCTCGAGTCCTATAGGGACGTCTCCACCGAAAGAGCTATATGCCATCAAGAAGTATGTGCCCCCGTCCATCTCTCTCCCCTGCTCTGACACGGACAGGTTCAAACCAGAGAAAGAGGGCGACAATGTGCAGTACACCGGGCTGTCTCAATCGGCCATCCGCGAGATGTCTCTGTGCACTGAACTGACGCATCCGAATCTGGTACACCTGGCAGAAATTATACTGGAAGATAAATGTGTCTTCATGGTCTTCGAATACTGCGAGCATGATCTATTGCAGATCATCCATCACCATACGCAACCAACTAGGCGAGCCATACCTGCTTCGATGATTAAGTCGATCCTATTCCAGCTTCTCAATGGCCTGTTCTACCTCCATCAGAATTGGGTCATCCATCGTGATTTGAAACCAGCAAATATCATGGTGACCAGCTCAGGCCATGTGCGGATCGGAGATCTTGGTCTTGCCCGACTGTTCCACAAACCACTGTCATCGCTGTACTCCGGTGACAAGGTTGTGGTGACTATCTGGTACCGAAGCCCTGACCTACTCTTAGGCGCACGACACTACACTCCGTCCATAGATCTCTGGGCTGTGGGCTGCATTTTTGCCGAATTGCTCAGCCTGAGGCCAATTTTCAAGGGTGAAGAAACCAAGATGGACAGCAAGAAGACGGTGCCCTTTCAAAGAAACCAGATGGGTAAGATCGTAGAGATTCTGGGCATGCCTCGCCGGGAGAATTGGAAAGGATTGGTCGACA